AGCCGATATTCCACAAGTATGGACCTAGCACCGATCCCTGAGGACATCCCATTGTAAGCGCCTTCGACACAGAATGATGACCAAGTCTTAGTTTAGTTGTACCTTGTGAAAAGTACGAAGAGATAAGGGAATAAATATTTTTAAAGCACCCCCGTGATTTTAATTTCAGCAACAGCATGGGCCACCATGCATTGTCGAAGGCGCCAGATATATCTAAGAAAATAGCCAGCACGTATTGAAATTTTGACTCTGTGACAAACTTTCTAACCGATATAACAGCGTCAGTTGTCGATTTACCCAACGTAAATCCAAATTGTCTATCATGAAATTTGACTCCACCTGGCAGAAGCCGGGGCACTACAAGACGTTCTAAAAGCTTTCCTAACGATGGTAATAATGTGATTGGTCGGTAGGATTTAGGATCATCCGATGGCTTGTCGCCACTTTTTGGTATTATACGAAGGCACCGCCATATACGAGGAAATATTCCTTCAGCAATGCAACGTTTAAAGACAGTGAAAATCGTGTCACCCGAAAGTTTACAAGCTTCTTTTATCATTTTGTTAGATATTTTATCATCGCCCGAAGCCTTGTTTAGCGGCAAGGATCTAATGATACCGAGAAATTCGTCTGAAGATGGTAAATCAGGCATTGGAGACAGTGGTGGTTCGATGGCCCACTGCCTGATCTGTCGGTGATGATCAGTGTCGTTTTCCGGTCGATCGTCAGGTACGAGTGAGTCTAAAAGATATTCTGCTGTTTGTTCTACTCCTGTGGTATATCTGTTATTAATTTTGATGTTCTGTATGTATGCAAGGTCGATTGATCTATTTGCCTTAAATTCGTGATACAAAGGTGACCACGGGCCCTCTCTATCGAGTTTATCAACAAGTTTCTGAATTAAGTTTCCCTTGGATTTTTCCACAGCAGCTCTGTAGTGGGACCTGGCAACTCTAAGAGCAATGAGAGCATTGTTGTACAAATCTCCTGTTACGTTATGTTTTTTAATAGTGTTTAATTTTCTACGAGCTTTCCGGTAGCTTCTACGTAGTTCGGCTAATCTATCATTCCACCAATCACATCTACGAGTGTTAGTGATAGATCCGCGACCAATAGTTACAGCAGCGCAGTATGTAAAAGTTTCTGATAGTATTTCTGCGCTTTCCTCAGCTGATAAACTACTGCGACTGAAGTCTTTGGTATGAGTTGCAAAGAGTGAACCAAACAAAGCCCAGTTCGCACCTTTAGTTTTATATCTAAAATTATAGGGAGCCCTTTGTGGATCCTGTGCAACCCTTGGTATGAATTCGTACACGATCAAGCGGTGATCACTACAGGATGCGTCCGGAAGGACACGCCATCCGGATATCGAGACGTCGCCGCGCGTAAGCGTCACGTCAATAGAAGACTCACCCATTGGGTTGCAAAAAGTTGGTGGTGCATCGGGGGTATTGTGAATAATAAGATTCATTTCCGCAATGAAATCTTCAACCGCACAACGTCGAACCGTGTCGGTTGAACGCAACTTGCCATACCATAATGAAGATGACGCATTGACATCAGCGCCAATGATAATTTTATGTCCCACGAGGAACTGCAAGACGTAACGTAAGTGATGTAAGTGAGGATCAATAGGATGTGAATATTGAAAATAGCAGCTCACTACGTAAACCTTACAGGTAGAGGATGAGATCTCAGCAACGGCGCAGTGTGACGTCATAAGATTACGCAAAGATGTTACCGTAAAATTAGAACTTGCAACATATATCCCAGCCTGCGAACGGCAGTCAAGCTGTACTACATTACGACGCAAGTGAGCGCTCTGATATTGTTCTTGTAAAAGGACAATGTCTAACTTTTGTTCTAAAATTAAACGGTCTAATTCTGATGTAGCTATTTTATCGTTATGAAGATTTAACTGGCCTATCGAAATATTATTCATTACTTAGTAAGTTACTCTTTTAACTTTTTTTATCTTTTTTTTTTTTAAACTAAGTTAAACTATTCAGTAATTGGTATTTAATATTAGCTGTTCCAGTTTTAATTTGTATGTGGCACAGTCGTATGAGCCGCATCGATGGTCAGATGGTTTTTTGAACCGCTTACACTGTGCGCACGTGGGCTTAAAATCTGATGTGTCCTAAGTCCTGTGGCTCCTAAGGTTGGAGCGTATACAGGTATGAATGAAGCAAAGCCTCTTTTGGTCTTCAATTTCAGCAGAAAGATTCGTTCTGTAATGCCCCGAGGCGGATGCCCCAGCGCACAAACAAGATCGCTCCGAACTGCAAAGCCAACGCCGTGTTCGCGCACCTCGTTACTTCCCTTTCCTCTCCGGTAAAAGGTATAATGAGCTTCCCTCAAAGATCCCTCGTCGGTTAGCCTAGTTTCTTGGAGAGCACAGACTGAAATGTTAAGTCTATTTAGTTCTTCATCGATGAGGGCAGTCTTACGACCCGGTGTGTCTCCTGAGCCTCCACAGTTCTCCGGGAGACCTGTCCACATAGTTCGGACATTCCATGTCGCTATGCGCATAGATGGGTTAATGCTTGTGGTGTCTCATCTTTTGCTCAAAAGCTCATCTTTTGCCGTTTATTGGTAGGTGTAACGTGTCGCAGCGCCAACCATCCACACAACCTGGTATCCCCCACAACCCAAAGCGATAAGCCAGCTCTGAGGCGGATCAGCACCCTATTGACTGTAGGCTGCCCAGCTAAAGCGGGCGGTAGCTGATCAGTGGGCCTACGATTGACCTTCCCACCGTCAAGAGCGACCCCTGGCTTTCGCGCTTACGCCCATATGCACGGGCTTATAACCGGTAACTGCCGCTCCCCGTGTTCTTATCCACGCTTTTGACTAGCGTGGGTGAAGTGTCCTCTCCACGGACAGTGCGTCGCCTAGGACACAATTAAGGAAACGTAGGGTTGCCTAAGACCTACATCACCCTCTCGACCTCGCTGGCTGGACCCACAGGAGAGGCAAGCCAGTACGTGTGGAGCCAGGTCGGTTGCAGGGATGTGCCGCTTATTTCGGGTTCGACTCTACTTACGCCTAACAGTGATCCCAAATCTGGGTTTAGTTTTGGAGTTTTCCTTCTCCTAGACGGATGCAAGCCAATGCTGGGGTGCCGTCTCACCCGCTGAATGGTTGGGGACTGCTTATTCTATTCGCAGTTGACCACTATATCTAGTGGCGGTTCACTATCCACCACCTGTGACCCCCTTAGTAGCTTAGAGCACAGCCCTAACATAGAATATATATTCAACATATATTCCGGCAGTCCTGTGGCTTTTTAATTGCTACGTAACAATGCAGCGATTTGTCGTGAAGTTTCAAATCTCATACAGCAAGAAACACCGCCGGTCCTACCTTTATGACCTTTTGGTCCCCTGGCATGAGAATCTATAAACCAGTATGACAGATTTTTAAATGCTATACATACAAAAACGAAATTGGCAATCAGGATTCCATTAGCATAATTATCAAAAAAGGAAGCAATACCATTTTCTAGATTTGGATATCCTTCTTGATCTCTCGAAAAGTGGCCATTAATTGATAAATCGTGTGCAATGTTCAAATTTACATAGGAACCCTGGAATGTTATCTCCAACAAGAGTTCCGTCGCGGCTAAATAATCAGAATTTATTTCACTAGGATCCGGCACAGGCCTTGCTCTCAAACATTGTCGATAAAATTTATCGCCGACTATTAATATGTAATCCAAATCACTAACAGTCCATGTAATTGGGTCAGATTTATAACAAGCGACAAGCGACGCAAGCTACGGCTGCTATAGCAGTACACTGTCTACCAGAGGATCCTAATCTGTCACTGCCTTGATGGAAGGATCCGCGTAATATAGACGTATTATTATTATGGCTTATAAATTTACTATTAAGCTGCTGGTTAACAACTTCGATATGATTCGCATTTGCATTATGACCGTTATTTATTTCATCATGAAATATCGCAGTTTATTATGTTTGCATAATTCGGTCTTACATCACGATATAAATGGTTGTATGTTAGCAACCAATTTAGTGCAGATTTAATTTTTTGGATTTTGACTTGAAACTGCCTATGATTTGGTAAATTTCCACGTGTTTCAACTACGAACACAATACCTGCCTAAGTTAAAGGCAACGGTAACTGCTCCGCTACTTCGACGACGTCTTGAGCAAATAAAATTACTTGTCTGGCCGACTTGACAGACGTGGAGACGTCTGTCAAGTCGGCCAGTTCAGGAGGCAAAGACATAGCTTCCATGTTGTTCCAGTAGGCCTGAGAAGGAACTTTTCTTTTTTTTATGCTAGTCGAGCAACGTGAACATACGATAATTTTTTTCAAGGCTACTAACTCTTGCGGAAGGAAATCAAAACGGGTTCGTCGCTAATGACATTTGTTGTTTTGGACATAATAATTTCTTACAAACTGTATAGGGTACTTCAGCGTACTGATTTATAGTAGTCAGAAAATTACACTCAATCATTGAACGTAGTCTTTGTGACGTCTGTCGCGCTGTCGCCAGCCGGTTTTCACGTTCCTGAGCAGATTCGTTGGCTAATCGATCATAAATAAGACCGAGTCTATGAGCCCTCTGCTCAGCAGACTCGTTGGCTAGACGGTCATAAATAAGGCCTAACCTATGCGCTTGCTGTTCAGACGTCTCTTATGCAAGACGTTCTTGAATCTTAGCGAGTCTAGACTCATACTGTTCAAGAGTTTCTTGACGTGAACGTAATTTTAAATAATTTTTCATAGCTAACAAACGTTCTTCACGATCTATCTCTGTCTTACAAGAACGTGAAATAGAGTTTCGAACAGCATTTTTTCGGAGTCGATTCCTTTTTTTTTTTTTAACTAAATTATACAAAAATAATTTACAACTATATACTCGGAGTGTAGACGCGGCGAGGAGGTCAGCGACTTGCAATAGAAAAAGACAGTACGCAACAGAACGAGACAACTGCACTTTACAAGACTCAGCTGCGAGCATAACTTACCAAAGGAATTGGTGGTCCCCTAGCGACGTGCAGCGCGGTGCATGTGAGCGGGACGACCGCATTTCTGGGCGGAGCTGTTGGCCCCTCCCATCGTGTCAAAGCAACTAGCCCATTCATCCAACCGGAGCGACGCATACGCAAGTTATTGAACAACAGCGAAGGATAGTGAGTACATCAACTACTGTGTAAGGATGGCTTTATCAACCAAAGCAGAATCTTTAACAAGTCCAACAGGGACAATAAACTGAATACTACCCACATCCAGTTACCAGGACCTTCTAAGCCTGTATTTATTGACGAATCCTTAACAAGTCTTGGAAGAAGGCTCGCGTACCTTGCTAGACAACTCGTTAAAGAGAACCATTACCACAGCACTTGGAACTCGTATGGCAAAATTTTCTTTAAAAAGTCACAAGAATCAACAGCACTGCGCATTGACAGCGAACAGGATCTGAAAAACATGTTACTGAAATAACTACTATTTAAATTGCTTACACCTAATTTTAGTTATATTTCATTACTATTGTCCAATAAAATGTTAAAACTACAAAATTCATACTTACTCACAACAATAACACATACATCACCCTTTTATGTCCAACACCACTTACACTACTTACAAAAGATACACACATCAATTAACACACACTTTATCTACACGGTTTATCTTACCGCACTTGCACGATCACTAACCTTATATCTGTACATAGCCCTGAAACATACATCGTTCGTATATATACATTACATCATACAATTTCTACTATATATTTACACAACAATAAATACAAACTATATTTACATGGTCTTTGTAAAAACTTATGTACAAAGTCCCTCTATATAATAGTAGATCCTACACCTATACATAATCATAAAACATTCACTACAAGTACGTATATACTCATGGCAACCCAACAGCTTAATTTATCTGAACCCTGTTTGTCTGCAGGAAACCAAAACAGTATTCAATATAAGCTATATTTACTCAATTACATGAATTGCTGTGACATTCTCTTACTCTTTACTAGAAAGGAAAATATATTAATCTTAACCTTTTACCTAGTGCCTTTCTTAACTATTAATTTACTACAGCCTAGCCACGCAATATTGAATACTCAGGTTATTTACATTGTTACTGTTCATTATTCTCATGCGTATTTCCGTGGCAATAACAGCTGTTTTGACGCAATAGTGAAGTGTATTTGTGTCTTTTTGACTTTACTAGAATTTAATTACTTGCAATACCTATATCAAAATTCGACAACATAAATACAATAAACGGCATTTTTTTTTTTGTTTTTTTCCGTGCGGAAATCCCCTCGGATACCACGGTGGCATGTCGGACTCGAACCGACTAAAACCGCACGCCGTCTCGGGTACTAATAGCCGGGGAACCAGGTATACCCTAGAAAGGAAGTCCCTGGTGCCCCGACATACCTCGGGTCATCTACAGACGAGTAGACGACCCCCCCCCCCCATATGGGAACCCCATGTTCCCTGTGCTCCCTGGAAGCGAGCGCGCTTCGCAACGCGCTCGCCGCCACCCCGGCCTGCCTGCTTCTGCTAGGGTGACAGATCACAATCACTTCCCTTCGCGGCACCGTGCGACTAACGTGTGACTTCATGTGCTAACAATTTAAATATTGTTTTCTGTTTTTCTGCGACTAGTTTCCGGCTTGCGGGCGGCTAAAGGTTGTGTATAGTGTTTTAAAGAAAGTCAGTAAGTTTTTATTGTTTTTAAACAGTAATATAGTGCTGAATTATTTTATTACGACTTGTTTTGAAGCGGACTGTATATAGGTATTTTGCTGGTCATCTACCTTAAAGGAAACCACGAGTAGAAATTATGCTTGTTTATTGTAGATCGGATGGAACGCAAGTGAATGTTACATTGGTATATTGTCGTTGGCAGCTAAAGGATACACAATGCAGCCAACATAATTAAACTAAGATGTTGTGTTACCAACATATTGGCCAGGGCGACAAATGGTTTAATAATAAGCCTATAATAAAGTTTTGACAACCCTAGGAAGATACACAAGTACTTAAAACAAACAAGTACAATGCTTAGACAAACATAATGCTTGACAGTTTAAAAAGGATAACACAAAAATATTATTACAGCTACACAGCCACTAAACTCAAATTGAAAGGCTAAACTTGTAACAATCTGTATATAAATAGTTCATAAATACCACACACTTGATGTGTTACATATTAACTTATGTTCAAGAGAACATTTTGCCCTTACACTTGCGACCTTAAATTAAAAGTTTTAACTTTATAAGTGAATGAACTAAACTATAGTTTAAAAAAAAATGTTTACGCTTACTTATACATCTACAAAACAATATAAGTAGATAACATACATGACACAGTCAGTCTTGCCACCAGGAAAAAACAAGTACCAAACAACTTCAAATAACAAATGTTAAGTAGTACCTATGTATTATACATTGGTAACAATACCTATGTATTATAAAAAATTAAATTTAATTTAATTTAACAATTTACTCATTGTAATTGAGTATGCACCTTATTGTCTAAGTAACTGTAAAACAAGTATTTGCTGACATTTAAACACTATCATTGTCTACAGGCAGTAAACATACCTTGGTGATAGACCGTTTATGAGTTTTACCATTAGAGGTCATGACTTCTACTACTCTAACCCTGTTATCAGTAGTCCCTGGAAAGACTTGCGTAACTCTGGCCATAGGCCAATACAAAGGGGCTAAATTATCATCCTTTAATATAACAAGAGAGCCTATCTTAATGTTAGGATGAACATCGGTCCACTTAGGGCGAGATTGTAATATATTAAGATATTGTTTTCTCCATTGCTTCCAAAATGAATGTTTAAGATTGTTACAAACGTTCCAAGACTTTAATCTGGAAATAGATGCATTTTCTTGTTCAGGATATGAATTTAGAGGTGATCCTATGAGAAAATGTCCAGGGGTGATACATGAAAAATCATTTACATCTGCAGACAATGGCATGAGAGGTCTGCTGTTTAATACAGCCTCTATTTGACACAAAAGTGTATTAAGTTCTTCATATGTAAGTGAGGAAGTTTGCATGACTCTCTTTAAATGATATTTCATACTCTTGACTCCCGCTTCTGCGAGTCCGGCAAAAGTTGGAGAATAACAAGGCAAAAAATGAAAGTTAATACCCTTCTGTGCAGCAAAGTCATATACTTGTTTCTGATGCATTTGACAATTTTGTAATTTATACAGCTCATCAAGCTGTGTTTTAGCACATTTAAATGTTGACGCGTTATCTGAATAAATATCAGTAGGTAGTCCTCTACGAGAAACAAACCTTTTGAGACAAGCAAGAAAGGTTTCAGTTTTTAGATCTGAGGCTAACTCAAGGTGTATAGCCCTTGTCACAAAACACACAAAGAGGCAAACATAACCCTTTGTAATGATTGGCTTTCTGATTCTAGCTACCTTAACTGAAATAGGACCTGCAAAGTCCATGCCTATTTTTTGAAAAGGGCGACAGATATTTACTCTGTCTGCAGGTAAACTGCCCATCAGTTGTTTGGCTGATTCTGCCTTTAATCTAAAGCAAGTAATGCATTTATGTAAAACATTTTTTACCTGTCTCAATCCTTGCACAATCCAAAACCTTTGGTTAATCGATGACAATACTAGTCTAGGTCCAGCATGTAGATTTTTAACATGTTCATTTTCAATTATTAACTCTGTTATCCGTGACTCTCGAGGTAAGAGTATTGGATGTTTCTGTGAATAGGAAATAGAAGCATTATGTAACCTGCCTCCTACTCGCAGAAGACCATTGCCATCAACAAATGGACTCAAAGGCTTTAAATTACCTTTAACAATTACATTCTTAGATCTTAAGGCATTAAATTCATCTTTGTAATGTTTTAGCTGCTCATGTTTAACAATTAACAACAATGAGTTACTTAATTCTTGACTTGTCAAATAACAAAGTTTAGTTTTATTATTTTTTGACCTTACATTTTGAACAAAGCGTAATACGTAAGCTAAGACCCCTTGCATCTTATTAATATTAGAATAATTATCTAGAAATTCTAAAGTTAGATTCTGCTCATCAGTAGAAAGAGAACAAACCATAGCATTGAAGGATGTGGAGGCCTCTTTGGTTTCAGGTAAGCGGCTTGGAATAGCTAAATTTAGCTCCGGCTCATACTTACATGTATGCAACAACTTTGGACCCTTCCACCATAATGGATGTTGCTCTAACTCATGAGGTAAGACACCTCTGCTAAGACAGTCGGCAGGGTTCTCGCTAGTACCTATGTAAGCCCATGTGAATTTATGAGATAGCTCTAAAAGTATTTTTACTCTATTTGCTACATATGCACTAAGCTTTATCAATGGCGTTTTGATCCAAGCTAAAACAATTTGAGAATCAGAGTGCAAAATAACTTCATCGATCTTCAGTTTTAGTGATAATGTATCATGGACTCGATTGACTAATTTAGCCAACAATACTGCAGCATTGAGCTCTAGGCGTGGAACAGTCATGTCTTGTTTAATTGGATTTATGCGACTTTTTGAGCAGAGTAAAGAAACTTTTATACTACCAGTTTCATTGACAACTCGTAAATAAACACAGCAACCATAGGCAGTATTTTTTGATGCATCTGCATAACCTATGATCTGTATCAATTTTGTGTTGTGTAAATTTGTGTATCGTGGCACATTTATTGGTCTCATGTTAAGTAAACTATTATAAAACTCTCGCCATGAGTGCGAAATCTTATCATTGGGGGTACTGTCCCAATCAATCTTAGCTAGCCATAGCTGCTGCATAATTACCTTAGCGCATACTATGACTGGACCTACCAAACCTAGCGGATCATAGAATTTACTGATATAGCTTAAAATGCCGCGCTTCGTAACTGGAAAGTCTTCGATTGGTTTGGGACTTGAAATTATAAATGAATCGGTTTTAACATTAAAATTTATACCTAAGGTTTTAAAGGATAAGTTACTTTTCTGTAAATCAATGTCATCAAAATGTTGTCTTGATTTAGGAATATCATGTAATAATTCAGGCAGATTAGAAACCCATTTATGTAACTGAAAACCCCCTAATTCTAAAAGACTACAGAGTTGCTCCTTTGCCTTTATCAA